TTTCCAAGAAGAGGTTTCAGGCAGGTGCCCTGATGCCCGTATAGGAATCCCCACTTTGCCATCTTTGGTGACACTCTGCTCTGATGCCTCCGGTAAAAACTGGCCAGTGATAAGAATGCATGTGTCATTTTGGATCTGTAGCTGAGGGTAGCCGAAAGCAGCCCAGACGTTTGTTAACTATGAAGCGCTTTGTTTACCTTTGACAACCCAAAGAGCATCTGAGCAAGGAAACAAACCTGCAACTTCCTGTTATCGATGGGGCAACTTCCCAGTTCTCAGGCTTGTCATCATAGCCCCAGTTCTTGGATTTTGTTGCTGACACCCTGATGGTGGACTTCCCGGCCCTCAGGGCACTGAGCACAAGCACTTCTCCTTGCTGGACTACTTGGCTATTTGCTCCACTACAGCTTCCTCCAGGAGGTTTTACCCTCTCCCTGTAAAAATGTTTACCCAGCTAATGTCAAGATATATAGAACTGTGTCTAGTTGGGGAGATGTCTGAAATGAGGAATGAGACAGCAGGGCTGTAATGAAGTGAGCCCTGCTGCTGGGAACCCGAAAGGCGCCTGTGGAGGTGAGGCTCAACAAATTTAGCAACCTGCCCCCTCAGCTTCTGCAGCAGCTGGGGGCCCCCCAGGCACTGTGCACATGATCCGTTTACACTGCAGTCTATTTGCATCCAGGCTGGCGGTGAAGGTGGGGAAGGCCGCCATATTTGTATTTGAAGCCCTAGCATGTGCACAAACACAGCACCTGGCACCAGGTGAGACCCTTGCTCTTCCCTTTTGAAACACTGCTGACTGCTTGTCTCTTTCTTTTTTCTTTTTAAAGATTTTTATTGGGGAACTGGGGGATGGGAACAGTGCTGGGGAATTAGGAGAAGGGGAACAGACAAGTTGCTGTTCTTTTTGTTCTTCAGTCTTGTTGTGGAGGACGTTGCTTCACTGGCCCAAGTTGGCACCATCATTGCGCTCTTCCCGGGCGAGGTACATCAGTCGCCGGCTTCTAGACAGCCGCTCACGCTGGCTGCTGGCTACACACGGTAGCCCATGGCAACCCACTGCAGCAGGGGCTGCAGCCTATGCCGTCGCCGGTGACTCACGGCAGCCCAGCTCCAGGTTGAGCTGTTGTTCAGCATCTTAGCTGTAGAGGGCAGTGTCACTGGCCCTCACATGTGGGATCCGAACCAGGGCCCTCTGGCGTCCCAAGCCAGTTCTTAACCAACACGCCACTCGGCTGGCCCCTGCTTGTCTCTTTCAACCCAAAGCTTTCCCTACACCCACCAGCTGCCTGCTGGGATCTTATCTGAATCATTTCTCCCCAGTGCTATTCCAAATCCACCATATCTTTTCCCCAAAACTTCACTTAGTCTTTGAGATGCGAATAAACCATCAAAAAAACAAAACAAGGGCCGGCCGAGTGGCGCATTGGTTAAGAGCTGGCTTGGGATGCCAGAGGGCCCAGGTTCGGATCCCACATATGAGGGCCAGTGACACTGCCCTCTACAGTTAAGATGCTGAACAACGGCTCAACCTGGAGCTGGGCTGCTGTGAGTCACCGGCGAGGCGTAGGCTGCATCCCCTGTGGCAGTGGGTTGCCATGGGCTACCGTGTGTAGCCAGCAGCCAGCGTGAGCAGCCAGCAGCCACAGTGAGCAGTCAGTGAAGCAACATCCTCCACAACTAGACTGAAGAACAAAAGGACAGCAACTTGTCTGTTCCCCTTCCCCCAATTCCCCAATAAAAATCTTTAGAAAAAACAAAACAAAAAACGAAGCACCTAGTGGTCAGTCCCCAAACTCCAGGTTGCATGGATTCCTTTTGTAACAGAAAGACCTGTCTACTCGCTTTCCAACTGTCTGCCAACCTCTGGTTGAGTGCTAAAGTGGAGTGAGTTTCTTTTCTTCTGACCCCAGGCTCCCTGGGCAATGGACTGGCAGTGCTTTCCAAGGTTCCTTACCATGAAGTCTGTCACCTGAGCTGTGTTCCTCACCCGAACTCGCTCCACCCGCCATTTACTAACTCAGGCTCTTAAAAATCAGTTTTCTTACCCAGTTTTATTTCCATGCAATAAAGTGAAACGACAATGAATTTCAAAGGTCTCACCAGCCTCTCTAAAATCACCTTCCTCCACACGTCAACCAATCTAACAAACATTAAGCGACCTTATCCTTGAGTTATCTCTGGATCTAGAGCAATTTCTTACTCCTCACTTCTCCATTCCGCCTTTTTCAAAACCTTGGAATTGGGGGATGTTCGCTAAGCACACTATTAAGTGTCTCCTAGCAAAGTCCTTCCACCTCGAAGTTTGTTGGTGGTGGACTGAATCCTGGGGGACGGGGATAAGGAATGCTACCTGCACATTGGCTCTTTCGGACTTAAAATTGGACACAGCTGGCCAGGGAGGTGATGGCCTCCCCATTTCATTTAGAGGTGGCAGCTGGGACTGAGACTTTAAGCCTATTACAACATATTGTCCCCTATCACATGGGTTAAAATATATTTCCCAGTTTGTATGGCCTTCCTTTTTTGACACTAATTAAAGTCTTATGTAATTTGTTTTGACACATTGGAGTCTTACGTAATTTGATTTTTATGCAGCCAATCTATCTTTTCCTTTGTGATTTATGCCATTGCTTTGGGATTTAAAATGGTTTTCCCCAGTCTGAAGTCTAGGTAAAAAGGAACTTTTTTTTTTTTCTCCTAAATTTGAAGGGGAAACAAGTTTCGTTTCATTTAACTATTCACTTCACAAAGAACGCACACTGACATCACTAGGGGGCTCTCAGGGGTCTTGGCCCCAGAGCTACTTAATGTCACTACACCATTTCCTCCCCACCACTATTTATGATGCGTGTTTACTAATTTATTGTGCATACATTATTTTAAATAATTGCTTTCTGGGAATAAAGACATTTATAGGAAATTTAGGAATTCAGAAAAATCCAATTAAATAAAGATTACAACTGCTAAGTCCACACAGTGACAACATTTGTGGTATTTATTCTACACATAAACATTATATATGCACATGCCCTTAAAAAGGTTTGTCAGAAACCATGTGTTCTGGAGTGGTTATTCTATTTTATCTAGCTTTATTCAAGGTCATGGAGCTAAGGCTAGCGTTCTGACTAGATACGCTACCTCAAAGTGACTTCAGGGCAGAGAGAGTTGGTGAGAATTCTTTTTTAAACACAAACCTTCCTTTTCTGATGGCATCGGTAACGCAGTTCACTATGGGACACTTAGAATATAAACTTGGTGAAGGACACCCAATACCCTAAAACAATATGAAATGACTTTAGATAACTACATAGTGCTACGACCTATGGATGTGACAAGTTAATTAGCCAACTCTGCTGGACTAGTTTTTGCTCTTCTAATTCCTCAATGTATCTCCCACTGGTTTCCTTAGGGCAGAATCCCCAGAGGGGAAAATCCTGGGTGACAGGGTAAAAACGTTGAAGACTCCTAATACAGCCCACCACACTGCCCTCTGGAAAGGCTGTGCCAAATTACACACTCCCTCTAGCAGCAGAGGAAAGGGGAAAGGACTTTTTTTTTTTTTTTTTAATTAAACAAAAAGGGAAAAAGGGCATTGTCCAGCCTGGGTAATAAGTACTGCCCGTCTGAATAAGGAAAAGTATATCCTTAATGATAACTCACGTAGTGGCACAGTGATAGCTTTAGGGTAGTCTAAATGTGCTAGCCGAGGAGTCGGCAAACTGTGGCTTGTGAGCCACATGCGGCTCTTTGGGTGCGTACACGTGGCTCTGAAGTAAAATTGAAAATGAAAATAAAACTCTCACAGTTTCATTTATAATATTACTTTAAGTTTTCCTTATTTGTAAAAATATATTATGGCTCTTGAATAATTTTTAAATTGATGTGAGGGACAGGATTGGCTCTTCCAGGGGTCGGCAAACTTGAGACGGAACGTACCCAAAGAGCCGCATGTGGCTCGCGAGCCACAGTTTGCCGACATCCTGTGCTAGCAGAAAGAGAAAGGACCACTTAGAGTTCACAGGGTCTTAAGAGCCAACAGTTTTTCTGGGCAAAACATCAAGTACAGTAAGGGAAGTCACCTTTAAAAAAACGGAAGTTCCCCCCTTGACCGGGTCTGGCTGGCAGTCTGGGGCCAACATGGTGACCTTTAGGTCTCCTGGCAAAGCAGCAAGGCGCCAAGTGAGCAAACCAGCCAGTCGTAAACACCCCCCACCACGTGTGTCCCCCGCTGACCCCGGGCACCAAGGGGCTGTAGACAGCATCTGCCAGCTTGTACTTCCTGCAACCACGAGCTGATCACGGACCTGGTCGCCGTTCTCACAGACTACAGCAACTTTAGGAGGAGGTCTTGGAGGAAGGGTAGCTTTGTGCCAAGTAGTCATATTTACATTTAGAAACATTCAGAAAAAAACCACAGTGGGAAATTTTGTTACATCACTGAAATGTCAGGAGACAGTATTTTAGTGGAAAAAGAGAAGCCCCCAAATGGCTTCTGTTGGACCCTGAAAACCTTCTGTTGGAATAAACATCACAGTCAAGTCAAGAGAAGTTTATTTCTAGGGAAGAAAAAACTGCTATAAAAGGCCCTGTCTGGGAATCTGTTCGTCGTAGTGACAATGGCAGCCGTGTGGTGAGGACTCCTTGAGTGGCCGGACACAGAGATTTCTTTCATCTACACTATAATGAAATTCTCATCTCTTTCATGGAAGAAAAGGGATTCACTGAGATTAGGAAATCTGCCCAGGTCACGCCTGTGGCCGAGGCTACTGGCAGGACTCAAAATATCCAAGTCCGCTGGGATCTGGCCTGCAAGCACTCCAGTCTGCTAGGCCTCACTATATCTCCCCCTTTGCTGGAACTGACTGGCCCACCCCCACTTCCCTCTTACTTACCTGAGAGAGGAAAACGCCACCTGGCTGGTTGAGTCAGAAGCTGTGGCAGGCAGAGGTGTGGGCTGCCTCAAAGACCACTAAGGCGGAAAGGAAACACGGACACCATTTTGTAATCAATGATCTTTTATCTTTGAAAATGGAAGCAAGTGTTTTGACAGAATACTATGGCCGCTCTATAAGAGCCGATCTAGGAATAATTCACTGGTTCTCCTCTGGGATAGCACGGCTTTTTTAAAAAAGAGAGAGATAGAGAGACAGAGAGAGAGAGAGAGAGAAAAAAAAACAGGAAAAATAATCCACAACGCTTGAGGTGCTGACTCTGAGCCTGGCTGGGCATCTGTTCATTAAATAAGTCATGAGCTACACACTAAGATCAGGATAACTTTTCTTTACCTTCTTTCTTCTCTGTGAACCACATTCCCGATGGTGTTTCACCACCGTCAACAATTCTGTTTCCTTAATTTGACATCAGAACCTTAAAACACTTCTGAATCTTAAAAATGAAGGTCCTCAGCAGATTACGTTGATAAAGCAACATGTACAGGTTTGAATATAAGTCACTGTAATTACTGTTTTGTTTACATCTCATTATCCACTCCAATATTAAAAATACACACATACACACACACACAAAACCACACCGAACATTCAGATGCCCTGAAATTATGAAGACAGTGATCCCAATATCAGTTAAGAACAGGGTACCTTGTTTTACACGGACATCACCCCCAGCTCGGCTGTGTATTCCAACCCACTGTCCACACTCGGCCTCCATCCTGGTTCCGTATTCAGACACTTCCAGCCAGTCCTGTCCCCACACTAGCACGAACATGTGCAAACGAGTTCCCGTCGTGATCCCAATGGCACTATACGTTTCATGTTCAATCACAAACTAAAGCCCTTCCAAAACAGAGGCTCCTTCAATCTTGTTTCTCAGACATGCAATATGAGAAAATGGAAGTGGAGAGAAGTTCTAGCTAACCCTGGAATGGAACGGGTGATCAGAGCTCAGCCGCTGGCCCCTGAGTCTGGGGCGCCTCTGTGCTTTGACACAGCCTCAGTGCGAGCTGGAGGGTAGAGCGGGTTAGTTGGTGTGAAGGGTGCAAAGGGACACGTTTGCACACATTAAAGCTACAGCAGAGGTCTGCGCGCCTGGTCTTGCTTCCTTCTAGACCCTTTTCCTCCAGCCTCGTCTTAGCTAAATGCAGTTAGGGCTGAAGGGCAGGAAGGACAGGAATGGCTGGGGGAGCCCTGAGACAGGTGGCTGCATATGAGGAACAGGGAGGGGCAGGAGCGCTGGTGGTGCAGGGAGAGCCACTTAGTCCTCCAGCACAGCAGGGGGACAGCATGGGACATGCAGGGAAGCAGAGGATCATATGGGGCCAACAATCCCTTCGAGGTTCCCTAGTTTTTAGTCCCCCACTATACTCAAGAGCTAGGCAAGCTGCTGCAATGGGCAAGAAGGAACGCGCCACAGCACGTGTGTCTTCTTGTCCTGGCACCCTTGTCAAGTATTGACCGAAACCTGAAATATGACGTTTAAAGTGATGAATGCAATACAGTCTACTTGTGTAACAAAAATGCAGGAACACATGCTAGTTTAGGTTAGATTATAATCATCTGGAGCACAGGATAACCAAGAAGCAAAATTCCATTCTGGTACAGCCACCCAATTTCTAGGAAAGAGAAAGGAAATGAAGGAAATGATACGATATGAGCTTTCTTTGATCAGAAGACTCAATAAAACGAGAGGGGTGGTAATACGAATCCACGTGATTTTTCAAGTCTTTCTAGCGTACAGACATTAAGATGACCAGGTTTGTGCTGCAACTGAGCCAGCACGATGTGGCTACTGCTCTGATTGTTCTCAGATGAATGTTTATACAAAATAATATCTTATCTTCATTTAGTTTATAAACATACACAGTGCTGTCCCTTTCAAATTAAGAAAAAAAAAAAACCACACACAAATACTGCAAAGTAGCAAAATACAAAGAAAAAAAAAAAGCTACTTTTGGTTTTGGCAACATTAAAAAAAAAAAAGAAATATAAAAAGCAATGTGGCATTGGTCCCTATTTGTAAAAAAAAAAAAAAAAGGTACTTGGGCACGACACTGAATCAGAATTGGTTGGTTTTCTAAAATTAGAATAGCTGGGATTTTAAAAGTAGCACTTTTGTCTTTTAAAAGTTCAACAAGTCACATATAACACTTAAAACATCAAAAAAAGCTTTCTGATAAAAAGCTCAGCTTTTAAATCACATTTTGTGTCTGCAAATTTGGGAGACGAATTGAGTTCTTACTGGAATGTGGCCTATCGCTGGTTGACAAATCTGAAATGAAATGTCTCCAAATGGCAGTGCCTCCCTCTTGCCCTCCCTGGGACCACACCAACAACCAGCTACCGGCCGGCCGAGTCCTTGCTCCCATTTTGGGGGTGGGGGTGGGCCTTCAGGCGGCAATCTTCGCCATCTGCTGTTCTAACTTGGAAATGCGCTCATCTTGATTGCAGATTGTGTCTTTTATAGATTTGATCTCTTTTAAAATCTCATCCAACTTGGCTTCATTTTGCTGAAGAAACAAAACAGGCAGGAGGGAAAGAGGGTCACTAAAAAGTAGCAAACGAAGTTCAACCCAGTTAAGAATTTACAAGGCCTAAAGTGGAACTTTCCATTTGGGAAGTGGCACGCCACAGGCTCCAGGTTGGGCCTGATGGGAAAGTACCTAGTGCTGGTGGGTCCATCTGACGCCCCCAGCAAAACAACAGTATCCCAGTGCTGCTCATGGTGCACTGGCCTGGACAGACTCTCAGGACATAATTAAACTGCAGGACAAGGCTGACTCCTTCCAGGCCACCCTATGTCCCAACCACCCAATCACACAACTCCACAGGAGTGACTTCTCTGTGACCAGGCAAGGGGTGGCCTTAGAGGCCCTCCTGGGAGCCAAATCCCTTGCCCTGCTTGCAGCTCTTCTGAAGAGGCCGGAGCCTGGCCTACGTGGAGCTGATTCCTTTGGAAACCTTGCAGCCACCCAAGTCCATGGTGCCACACTGACGTGGCTTCCGCGGTCACGGCCAACATGCCCGTTCCTCCAGGCACTCTGCGTCTTCAGCCTGCCTACCTGCCACTGACAATTTGTGGTCCTCCCCTCTGGCTCCCTGGAACTCCGTTCCACAGCACGCCAGCTGCCCATCCCCCCGCTTGAACTTGCTCTCCCAGCAGCAGCCCTCTCCAGTGGCCAAACACGGCTTCAATGTCAGCCTTGAGCTGCCGTCACTCCACTTAAATGGTTCTAGCCAACACACCCAGGATCCCCTTTGTTGCTGAGTCCCACTCACCACTACGTCCTTCCCAGGGCCTTCTCTCCCTGGCGTCTGTGATCCCATCCCTCATGTTTCAGTTCTGCCCAACTCACAGATGCGTGTACACACTTAAGAAAAACCCAAAGGGCTCCTGTTTACTCGGAGACGGTAGTAGACCATATTCCACTCCGGTCATTATAAAAAAGAGCTAAAGGAGCCAAACGTGGCCAAACTCAAGTGACTGAGGAGGTTCTAACAAATAGTCCATGTTATCATTTACTGAAACGCCCCCGTCCGTCCACGGGTGGGACAGCACTCGCCGGTGTCCAGGACGGGATGGAGCTCTTAAGAGGACCAGGCCCGAGCCAGCCAAGCACACCCCTCAACCTCCTGCAGTCCTTACCACACTGGTCGTGTCTGTGGTTTTCTTGGGGATGTTAATCAGGTCGCACTTCTTGTTTGCAGTAGGCTTGCTATCCAGAATGTTCTTCTTGACTACCTTGAGATCCCTGTTTTTGCCTGGAATGTAGCCGTGCTTCAAGGAGATGAGGATTGGATCTGCATTTTTCCCCTCAAACCACTCTTCTGCCTCGAGTGCCGCTTCAGGCCCCGCTGTGTCAGGATACAGGTCATCTTGGAAAAGGTCTGACTACAGGAGACATTGTGGGGAAACCCTCAGGTGAGGAAGAAGAAAGTTCTGGGATTTAAAAAAACTTTTTACAAAAATGGGTTGCCTAGAGGGCCGGCCGAGTGGCTTAGTTGGTTAAGAGCTCGCTCACGAGTTTGAGCTCTGTGCAACAGCGGTTCGAGTCCAGCCCGAGCTGAGCAGCCGCTGAGCTGCCAACAGGTAGCAGGATGGCTCAGCTAAAAAAAAAAAAAAAAGGGTTGCCTAGAGAACTGGGTGCTTACCTTCCTGGGAACTGTCATGATAATAGGCTCACACTTTCTCTCATGAAGTTTGAAGAACCTTCAAAGGGGAAATAAAGGCAAAGTTGCATTAAGTGAAATAGGCCAAGTAACAGACAGGCTTAATGAGAACCGCTTTTCTGCAGTGTTGTATGGACTGTGAAACGCTCTGCCCATCACCTCAGCTGCCCACCCTGGGGAGTAGGGAGGACTCAGCATTCCCAGTCTACAGACGAGAACACGGAAGCCGCGGGTAGCTATACTAGGAAACGGAGGAGTGGGGATAAGAACCGGGAGCAGAGGTCTATGCATTGTGGTGATGGTCAAATTCCAATTATCTCGGGGCAGATCAATTGTGGTGGAAATGATAACACCACCAAAAATGACTCATTTGTGAAAAATTACCAGGTCAACAAACAGGAGAAAACAAACACCGACATATCAGATCTATGAGTTGGGTGATAGGTACTCCAACAACCTGAGGTGGTCAGACATGTGTAAGCACAATGTTTAAAAGGTTAAAGAAAGCATTCCTAGGAATTAAAGATTTGGCCCCTCGGCAAACCACATCATACATGACACTCAAAAAGTTGAGATTATCCCAAATAGTAGGAACAGAAAGCACGAAACCTCTACAGTCGGCGTAGTGGAGAAAAAGACAACCTGGGTTTGACTTCCAGCCCAGCCGCTACCGTGCCTGAGCATGAGACCACCTCACCACACGTCAAGTTCCTCAGCCATACAGCGGGGCTGAAAACGGCGCCTGCTCACAGGGCTGTTAGCTGCGGTTAGAGAGGAAGCCCACACAGCGTGTTATGCACAGTGTGCCTGATGTATAACGAATGCCCATGAAACAGTAAGTTTTAGGCGACAGTAAAATAAATGTGTTCCCAAATAGTAGATGTAATCTTAAATTCAGATTCAACATGTTTTGAACTACATTTTGATTGGTTTGGTTTAAACCACAATTTTGAATTATCTGGGACGGTTTTCCTTCATTACTCCAGCTATAGAGAGTTGAGTGTATTTCTTAAAAATCCCACAGTGATTAATATAAAAAAGGTCTTAAAAATTTGTCTTATTTTAATTTGTAAAGATACGTCAATTAATTAATTGTGTGGCTAGAACAGCAAACTTAGATAAACGGCCATGGAAACGCAGTGAGTGTTACACAACGTGTACTAGGATCTTATCCCTGGTAACGTGATGCCACTCATTCCATTGCTTAAAATGGCCAGTGGTCAGTGAGTCTCCCTGAGTATCTTCTGTTGACTAGTACAAGAAAAGAGCCGGCCCCTCAGGAAGCCCACTAGCATTATGGAATTAAATATTTTAAAAATCCAGAGGAGTACAAAGAGGCAGGAATTCTACAACATAGCAAACAAACTTTCCAAATCAAGCGAACCCAACACCCCACTGAAGACCTTTGGCTTCTCCACTTTGGGATCCATGGGGTCTGCAGTTCGGCTTGGAACCTAGTTCGTCCCCCTGCAGGGCAGGAAAACCATCCCTTATTCCTATCCCAGGCACAGGCTCTCCCCTGCTTGCCTCCCAGGGCACACAGGCCACGGCCTCACCCTGAAAACAAGAGATGAAGGTTTCACTCTTCAAATAAGTGCGCAATACACCTTGGCCAAGCCACATGCCTGCTGTACTTCGAGTTACATAATGTGAAGAATGGAGAGGGGTGTGGTTGTATTAAATGATTTTGAAAGGTTCCTCCCTGCACAGAAACTCCATGTCTCTAAGGACGGGAAGGAGATGAGACTAGTTCCACACCACGCGCAGGGCAGAAAGCCCCAGGCATCACAGGAGTATGTGCAGTTGTGTTGTTCTTGCACATCATGGACGGTTTAAGCAGCCTGAATACTTTATGATGCCCGATTCCTTACCTGGCAATCTCACATTTGTTAACATCAAGTCCCCGCTTGGGCATGTAACCCATCCCTCTCTGAGGCTCCTTGCTGCTGAATGTGTTGAGGTAGTGGACATACGGGGATTCATCTGTGATCTCAAAATAGCGGATACTGCTGTCGCCCTACAAGAAATTGGAGACAAGCTTGTGTTTAATGTTAACTGAAACATCTGATGTAAGTGGGCGTCTCTCGCCTCTGGAAACCCAGCATTAATGAGGACTCCGCTACGGTGGCTGACCTTTCTCTTCCTCTTAAGAGGTTGCCTAAAGCATATGACGGTTTCCTCACTCATCAAACACTAGCATGCTCTTTAAACAGTCTTCACTGCCTCCCACTGAAGGCTCAAGTGCTACTCCACATAGAGCCCAGACACCAGGTCAGAGTCAAGGCAAAACTGTTAACACCTGTGCCCAACAACTGCCTTGCAATTCTACTTCAACAAACAAATAAAACAAAACAAAGGACTAGGAGAACCACTGCTGAGTTATTTGTTCACCAGCACAGAGCAGTATGTTCAGAGATCTGAAGGCACTAACAGCAGACAATCAGATAATAATAAAAAGTAAGATTTTTCTAATTAAGAAACATTAGCATTAGTATCCTTTAACTTTACAAGGTTTGCTGTCTCATTGCAATGTACAGAATTCTATAATAACTGCACTTAGAAAGGTCAGATTTTCTTGGAGATCTGAAACATATGCTAGCCTAAGTATAAATAGTTGTCACACAGTTATACCAACCTGAACAATGAAGGTAATCCTACCAGGTAGAGAGGATGGATGGATAGACAGATGTGTGTGTGTGTGTGTGTGTGTCTGTCTGTCTGTCTGTCTATCTATCTATCTATCTATAGACATAAATAGTTAGGTGGTATCACACCCTAACAATCCTCTCAGTTCTTGTGATTTCCATTAGTTTCAATGATGTAAATAAATACTTAAAGCAATGGAAAACAAGCTAAACACATACTATTAATATTTGTTCTCTGCCCACGAAAAATAATTTTCCACCTAGTGCTGATAACCTCTGGGTCACAGTTCCTTTTGTTTTGATCAATCTATGGCAGCTGTTAACATCTGAAGTAAAACGACTGACTTTCAAGGAAATAGATAAGATCTCAGTTTCTAAGTAACTGGCCTATAAAAATGTAAAGCAGCTTTGCAGCATGACCAGTCAACTATGAAAAGAAGTAAAACATCCCTGGCTGCATTCAGCAAGGGGCATCCTAACAGGTTGGAGGGACTATAGCACTCCATTTTTATTCATTCATTTATTTCAACTACAAAAATTTCTATGGAAAATTGAACCTACAAAATAATAATACTGAGGTTACCACCTACTAATATGAAATAATAATAATAATAATAATGCAACACCAGTTGACTTAGGCAGAGATCATTAGGTAGGAGCAAGGTTTTCTGATTTCGGTGTGGGTATTCCTGTAACAACTGTTACCTCCTGAAACTTTAGTTGGGGGCCACATATTTTCAAGCCCCGGGCTCTACCACTGGACTCCAGGAACAAGAACCCTCTGGAGAGTCTCTGGGGTCCTCACAAGCTCCTATCCGCAAAGCACCACTCTCTTTGAGTCCACAGCATGTGGTAAAAAGTACCTAAAGGTCAATCCAGAGCTATCTAGATTTCAGCATTAGATATGGCAAACTGGGCTACTTATCCGGACACCAATTCAGAGAAATCTAAAGTCACCAACCATACAGCACCACGAGGTGAATACACAGCACCTGCTGCATACTCTTTTTCTCACTAGAGTGCCTGAGGGAAGCTTTTCCTGTCAGCTTTCCCCCAATACCCAAGTCCACTCCCTGCTTCAGTCAAAACTACTAACCACAGTATGTTATTACCACACAACTGGCAAGTCACAAACAGTCCGGTCTCACCTAAAACATACCCAAATCACCTGTTCTTATTTTAGCTCAAGACACACACACACCCGCCCCCAGGGAAATTAATTAAAATGACACAATACATTGTGGATCTACTAAATCTCTGAAGGATAAACTTTTCTTTTGACAGGATTAAATTTAATATCAAACATTAAAATTACTGTTTACCTTTCCACATAAGTAAATGATACTGGTGTCGGGGTCATAGAAAGGCAGCAATACCCCATTGCTGGTGTCCATTTCATGAAGAGCAATTGGTTCCTGCATATTTTTCTGAGGGAAAAAATAAATAAGTAAATAAACAAACATAAACACACACACTCATATATACAAACACACATTTTTAAAGACGAATTTTTGTAACCTTATTATGTATGCATTCTTTTATCCCTAATTAATTAATTTTAATTAATTTTAATTAAATTAATTTTAGCCATTTCCCTAAAATTAAAATTTGAACAATGTACATATAATATTCAGACATGTGAATACCAATAGGGATGATAAATGGGGTCCAACCCACTGAAAACTGTGTCGATTTGACAACATAATTAATGCACACATCAGTATGATCCTACGACAAAAACGAGCGTCCTTCTCCTTTGTGACTTTTTTCTCTTTTAAAAGTACTTTGCTTATTACAAAGTTCATTATACACATTCTTTGAAAAGTTAAAAGGTACTAGGAAGAACATAAAAATCGTCCCATATGCCATAATCTCACGTCCAGTGAGTGGCAGAAACAATGACCATTTTGGTCTATTTCTAAACACAGGTTCACACAGATTGGCATCACACCACATGTGTAGTTTAGAATTTTTTCCCCACTTAAGCTATTATGAACATTTTCCCAAGCATGACTATTTTGTTTACACATTTGATCATATTCTTTATAAAATATAACTAAATTTAGAACTTATTTTTCAAATCTAAAAATTTGGATTCCTTTTGCATTCTTTTTAAAAAATATAGTCAACACAGACTCCTTGGGAGTATAAAGAATGCATTTTTGAAACGCATTTAGCAGTAAGTCTCCAGTGAGGATGAGAACTTGAAGACGTGGGAGTTCAGAGAAACTATACCAAGAACCCCATAATCTAGTATCAACCCAAAGACCCGCTCAGAAAAGAGCAAAAGCTCAAGTGTAAGCCGGTGGAAAGGCTGGGCAGGCGCGTACCGGATTCCAGAGAGCCAGCTGCCGCTCGCTCATGCGGCTGAAACCAGTGGTGAAGACATTGCCGTCAGCCAGGAAGATGGCTCTCATGGGGCGTGCGCCTTCGTGTGCCTTCTCCTTCTCCTGGGGAGAGCGAGCGAAGAGGCACGTTATACACATTCAAACTTGAAGAAGGAAGGTAGGACGGGAGAATGGGGGCCCATACACCGAACTCAGCCACACCCTGCATGCCATTCACGTTAACTGGTGTGTGTATGTGTGTGGGGTGTGTGCGTGTAAAAACCCCCTTCCTGCCCCAGATGAGGAATCCGAGACACAAAGTGCTTTAGTGATTTGGTCAAGGTCCTTCAGCTAGTTAGCAAGTGTCAGGACTTGACTTCAAATCCTCATTCTTCCCATCATGCCCTGCTGCCAACTCAAGTCCATGCACTGCAAAAATCACACACATGGGAGGACTCTGCCAAATGTTTGTTTCTCAGGCAGACAATACCCTTCAGGCTGGATATGCCCTGCATTCCTACCAACTTCACATGACAGAGAAACTAGTCTAGTTAGCCCCTTCTCAACCTCATTTGTTCAGTGAGTGCGCCAGCACTGACCCTTAGAAGCTTCTAGTGGAGAGGGCACTTCGCACAGGGCCAAGCGAGTCCCCAGTGCTCAATAAGCACTAGCTACGACTGTCGTCCGACTCACTCTTGAGACGCAATACTGCCAAAGACCCAGCACATCTCAGAGAAGGACGACTTAGGACCTCAGAGTGGAGCTTGAAGTGAGGTGCTCCTGGATTCAACACTTGCGGTTTCAACCCTGACTCAAGTCGCAAATGTCCATCTTTTGTCATGATATGTGATTTTGTTGAGGCCTAGTTCAGGTGGCCGAGACTGACACTGAGCTGATGAGAGAACCTGCTGTATCTCTGCGAGGTACTTTAACAGTCGTTTTGGGAACAGGGTGGGAATCAATTAATCAATATTCAGTACAAAGCCCGGAATGCCATGAGCTGTATGGGTTAGCTGATCTGGACTTGTCAACTTTAAAGGATTCTAATGAACTGATAAAAACTTTGTTTCTTCGTGAAAAATGGTCACCAAGTGAGAGATCAGACTTGGGTAAAAGCTGGAAATGTACAACTCTGAAGAGAAGCGTGACTGGGAAACAGTCAGAAGCCTGTGCAAGCCTTTTCTTTCAAACTGTCACAGACGTTTGCACACAGCCAAGGTCCACTGGCCAGTAGCACAGCCTCTGCAGCCTGCCTTGAAAAGCAGAAAGGTCACACTCACTGAAGTGCTACAGATACTGGGTTTTTTTGTCTGAAGAATACTCACAGCAACAATCTCCTGTTTCCTAGGATCGATTACTCTCACTTTCTTGTCTTTGGAAGCCGTGCAGATCAGACTGCCATTCCTGTTCCAGCTGACATTGTAAATCATGTCGGAATGCATGTCGTCCAAGTTTATCAGGGCTTCCCCCGTCCCCACGTTCCAGATGATGATGGCATTATCACAGCCTAGGAGCAAGCACAACCACGCCCCTCGGAGGTTAGAAACACTTTTACCACACATTTGTGAAAACCACACACACGCTGAGGATATATGGACACGCACTGAAAGGAAGGTGCTGATGAAAAGAGGCCCTACTTACTGGGAGTTAAAAACCGAAGTGACCAAGAAAAAAAATCTGTATAAAAGAAACCAGTGTTAAAGGAAATACATGGTTTGTTAAGCCTGGGTTCATGCTACACGACAGAAACAACAATGAAACAAAACAAAAAGCTACAAGAAAAACAAGAAAAACAATCGCTTTGTTTTTTTAAAAGATAACTGGGCTGGTGGACCCCAAGTAATTGTCAGTTTCTTTTTCTAGTAAAACAAGCAGGAGAACGAGTACAGCTTGCTTCTTTTCCAGAGGAACTAAAAATAAAGAGTTTAAATAAGTGTTTAGGACACGCAACAAAAACAGTGGATGGCAGATTATTCAAATCAATGATGCTGTACAACACGGTCTTGGATTAAAGCGCGGCAAATTACAGTCAGTGGAAGGGAAATGCAAGGACTGGCCTGACCATGCAGATCTTGATCTTTAAAAGGGGAGAAAAAAATAGGTCAGGACTGGCCTGATTTGAGAAGCCCAAATTGTAATCAAGTAAACATGTGGATTCAGAGACTGATCCCTAAAGAGGCCACTCTGTTGACTCAGCCACAACCCCTCAGTCCATCAACTCTATCCTTCCTTTAAGAGTCTGCCCCCAAGTCCTTGAGGCCCTTTTAAAAAGAGGCATCATTTGCTGCTTCCAGGACATTAGTTCAAGGATGAAGCAACATAAGGGAGGGACATCCTGAAGGCGAATTCTTGCCAATAAACCAATTTTGCAAGCACTTTAGAAAAATTAGCCACCAATATCCAGGACGCCTAAGTTACCTAAGGGTGAGAAGTAGGAAATGGGTGAAAAATACTGCACATCAGTATGAAAAGTTTGAGTGGAACTCTGGGATAGAGATTTGACCCTTCCACTGCCTTGTTCATCACAGGCAAACAGGTAACTTCAGCTACCGCAGATGGATCATATAGTCTTAAAATATGCAGAACGCTGCGTCAACCATTCTCCTTTGCCTGTAATGGGGAGCATGGGATCAGTCTGGGGACGATATCCTATGTTTGACCTCGATGAGAAGGGGAGCAGGAAATTTTCCATGATGGAATTCCAGCTTTGGAATTGTTTTCTCTCCTTATCAGACTGAGGTTCTGAGCAGAACATTGGAAGGGTTCCCAAGTATAGTCAATTGTGATTTTTAAAAAAAAGTGGATTCTACATAATGTGTTGTTTTGAAAAGCAGCCCTTGGTTTCAATAGGTACCTGGCATTAAACTTTTTATTTACCTGTGTCATAAATATCCTTTATTCTCTGTTAAAAACTGAACAGCTGTCCTTCTTTTTACCGGTGAAGGGAAAGGTCTTTAAAGTTCTACCACTAACATTAGTATTCCTTTTTTTATAAACCAATTATATTATATGTAATTTACATACAACACAATGTGCCCGCTTGAAGTATACATTCATTAAGTTTTGACAAGTGTGTATATTCACGCAGCCACCATCACAATCATGACAAAGAACATTTCCATCACTTCCACAAAGCTCCCTCATGCTTTTTGTATTGCTTCTATAAAAGAAGATAAAAACCTCAAATTTTTGACAAGAAACCAATTTCTGTAAGATAAAATTTGGAAACTACTCAAGTGGGAAACCAACAAGAACTACGACTTAGCCACAATGGTTCACTGCAGGGCTGTTTACCAGTGAAATATCAGAAACAACCTCAATGTCCACAAATAAGGGACTGATTTAAAAAAACTGAGGTATCCAAATAATGGATTATTAATAGAGCCATTAGATATATCATAGGAAGAGCATTTAATGGCACATGAAAAAGTGCCACTAAGCACAGAAAGCAGATCACACGTAAAGTGTCTGAACCCATCTTCATGTGTAAAATCATGTATGTATGTGCACAGGAATATTTTCTGAAAACACCAAAGTGGTAATAACGAAGTTCCCTCCAGGTGGTAGGGTTACAAGTGATTTTTATTTTCTTCCTTTTGTTTATATGTATTCTATATAACATCCATGTACTATACTACTTGTATTAAGGAGAAAAATGAAAGTAGTTTTTAAAAGGAAGGATATTCGCCTAACAGGATTACCCCAAAGTTGGCAGCAACACCAGAGCTGGTGCCCAGGGCTCCTGGCTCCCACCTGTGTTCCTTCTACTACATCAGGAATAACTAAAACTGTGGCCCATGGAGGGCACTAGCAGGAACCATGAACCTGCTGAAATTACAGGCGAATAAGTATGTATCTGTTCATTTTTCTAAGCAGGAGACGATAGCTTTCATCACACTGTCAAAGTAGTCTACACACACATACACACACGTATGTGAGCACATGGGTTGGGAAACCATTGCATCTCAGCATCATAGATTCCTAATGATCTGCTTTAAAATTGTGTGGCACACAAACGCATCTGCTGCTCCTCTCCACACACACAAAAGGCTGCATGAAGTGATGGCAAGGGGAAAGCAGAGAACTGCTTAGCTCCTACCTGCACTAAGAAGCACATTGCGGGCTGTTGGGTGCCAGGCCACGATGCCAACTCTCTTTGAGTGACCTTCTAAAATCACCACAGGTTCCGTCAGGGAAAGGGTGAGTCCATTTTCTGGGATCTGCCATACCTGTTAGAAAAGGAAGAAAGATGATCCATGTGAAAGCGATCACCTTTCATCATCACATTTACTGTGACCACCCAGTTTAAAGACTTGCTCTGCAGAAACAGAACACACGATGGTTTTTGAATGAAATGCAGACTATTGTGAAATGACTGTATACAGTTGTTTTAAAAATGTAACAGGATATTAAAGATCGGAATATCCATTAGGCCTACAAAATGTTACCTCTCCACTTTTATTTAATATTAGTTAAAATTTTATTTCAGATTCCCTTAAGTTCAAACTCTCCAGTCAGAGCATGCAAAAAAAGCTGAAAGAAAAATACAAAATGATTGCAGCACCCATGAAAAGCAGCAGTGGAGTAAGGTTCCCAAGCTAAGTCCATGGGTCCCATGGGCCCAGGGGAGAGCAAACTCCACCCAACAAGGGCTCTTGGTGAATTCTGCAGTTTTTAAAACATCATGTTTTCTAATACTTTTTCATTTGGAAAATAAAAATATACCTAATAGTTTTGCAACATGTACCAGAGAAGTCAAATTTTACAACAAACAAGTAGGTAAAGTAGACCTTGTCAAAATGTAAAACTTTTGTGTTTCAAAGGACACGATCAAGAAAGTGAAAGACAATCCACAGAAAGGGAGAAAACATCTGCAAGTCATAGCTAATAAGGGACATTTATCTAGAATATATAAAGAACTCTTCCAACTCAATAACAGGAACATAACCCAATTTTTAAAATGGGCACGGAACCTAAGTAGATATTTCTTCAAGGAAGATCTACAAATGTCAAAACAGCACATGAAAAGATGCTCAACGCTATTAGTCATTAGGGAAATGCAGAACAAAACCACAATAAAACATTGCATCCACTAGGATGGAATAAAAAAGACAGATAACAAGTACTGGCAAGGATGTGGAAAAATCAGAGCCCTCTTACACTGCTGGTGGGAATGTAAAATGGTACAGCTGCTTTGGAAAACAGTCCTGGAAGTTCCTCACAATTTTTTTTTTTTTAAGATTTTTATTGGGGAATTGGGGGGATGGGAACAGTGCTGGGGAATTGGGGGAAGGGGAACAGACAAGTTGCTGTTGTTTTGTCCTTCAGTCTAGTTGTGGAGGACGTTGTTTCACTGGCCCAAGTGGGCACCATCATTGCGCTCTTCCCGGGCAAGGCAGATCAGTCGCCGGCTTCTGGACGGCCGCTCACTGAGGCTGCTGGCCGCTCACACTGGCTGCTGGCTACACACGGTAGCCCATGGCAACGCACTGCCACAGGGGCTACAGCCTACGCCATTGCCGGCGACTCACGGCAGCCCAGCTCCAGGTTGAGCTGTTGTTCAGCATCTTAGCTGTGGAGGGCAGTGTCACTGGCCCTCCTATGTGGGATCCGAACCGGGGCCCTCTTGGCATCCCAAGCCAGTTCTTAACCATCGCGCCACTCGGCAGGTCCTTCCTCACACAATTAAGTGTAGTTATCACGTGACCCAGTGATACCACTCCTAGATATCCACCCAAGAGAAATGAAAATATATGTCCACACAAAAACTTATACACAAATGTTCATAGCAGCGTTATCTGTGATAGCCAAAGATGGAAACACCACCAAATGTCCAGCAACTGATAAATGGATAAACAAAATGTGATGTATCTGTACAACGGAATACTGTTTGTCCATAAAAAGGAATGAAGTACTGATACATGCTACAACATGGACAAAGCCTGAAAGTATTATGCTAAAAAAGCCAGTCACAAAAGACCAGATCTGGTAGGACTATGTGGATATGAAATGTCTAGAATAGGAAAATATAGAGAGACAGAAAGTAGAAGGGCCAAGTGGCTCAGTTGGCTAAGAGCTCGCTCAAGAGTATGAGCTCTGAGCAACAGCGGTTCGAGTCCTGGCCCGAGCTGGGCTGCCGCTGAGCTGCCAACAGGTGGCAGGATGGCTCAGCTAAAGAAAAAAAAATAGGTTAGTGGTTGCTTAGTGCTGGGGGGTTGGGGGCTGGTGATAGCTGAAGAATACAGGAAAAGGATATAGAAAGCAAGAAGCTTTATGTTTAACAATGGAAGACCTGGGTTTTAAAAGACTAAGGAACACGCTCTAAAAAGAAGGAGACTGAATCATGGCTAAGCTGAATAGCACCAAGAACCCTGGAGAAAAGCAGATATTAGGTAATATTGGGTTGTCGGGAAAAATGACGCATTTTTGCAATGAAAACCATAGAAAAACTACGCCATGATTTTTCTGACAACCCAATATTTAAGTTTGTGAAAAGGCTCAAGTTTAATTATCTTCTTATATATGAAGATACATAATTTACTACCAAAAATCTTTTATGGAACTAGTTCATGAAAAATTAGAATTCGCCAGTGAAATATCATGCTCATCAGTACAAGGAGTGAGAAACAGAATTTTCCTTTGTTGGGGTTTTTACGGAGACAAACAACTGTCTGTTTTTAATTGCTTAGTGGAAGGCAGAGATCTGAATTAGATGAGTGTTTAAGGTCCAGCTCAGTTCTGTTGTCCTACAAATAAACAGACCAAAAAGCTTGCCATCCTGAAGAGTGGAAAAAGTGATGCGTTAAGTGATTATTCATTTTTGTAGCTAAATTCTGCCCTACCTAAATATAACGCCTTATGCAAATCACGGCAAAGGAAATGAGGCTTTTGAAAGCCCGGGTTTAGAGTGTCACCTCATTTCCTCTGAACTCTCATCATTCAGCAAATTTTAAACAATGCAGATGTAAACAAGCATAGAAGGCAAACAGAAAACCTACCTTGCCTCTCTCTAACCCTCACCTAGACCACAGCCTCTCCCCTGGGAGAGTGTGGGCTTCCTCTTTCTGACGTCAGCTGCCCAGCACTATATGCTTGTATGCTTTCATCCTGATATACGCTATTTTTATTCAGGGTTTATGATTAGTAAAACAGCTCCAAATTGAATTTAGCTATCTGAATATAAAGGAAGGCTGAAATTTTGAACAGAACGAACAGAAAATGACCACTGATTTGATCAAAGCATGATGCCGGCAGAAAAATAATAATGAAATAAGACTTTAGTGACTCAACAGGAAATGCATTTTACAAGATGAATTCTGACCCATGCTTCGAGTGGCAGTACTGCCTGCCATCTGCAGATGGCCCTATAACCACGGGCTGCTGGGTTTTCTTGCAAGGATCAAAAAGCCTGCGACTTGACCACGAATGAATAAATAGTGTGTGTTCCAAGTCCCTAACGAGGTGTGGAGGGATAGCAGGCTTTGGTTATGATAGCGTTCCAGTCTGAAATATTAGGGCAGAAGCAGAGCTCATAACGGGACTGCACCTTCCCCTTTCTGTAGCTTCCTCGTCCATCTCCTTGGATTGCCAGGAAATTTTAATGATGGAGCAAAACATTCATAATTTTGAAAATAAGGAAACTCTGTTCCTCCTTCTTGATATCACTTTCGGCAGATTCAATGGTTCCTTCAACTATGTTTATTCATTTAATATAGGCACCTAACCTATTTTACTAGCTTGGTTATTCATTCATGTAGCACAGTTAAGTAGCTACTATTAAGGTAGGTCCGTTACCAGGCAAGTGGGGAAAGGGCGATGAAACATACATACGCTATGCGCTTGAGGAGTTTACTGCCTGACAGAAACAAAGACTTCTATGAGACTGAAAGCCCAAGTAAGCAAAGACAAGCGGTGTGATATAGAGGTTTGGAGCATGGTCTCTGGAGCCAAACAGACCCTGGTTCAAATCCTGACCAGGCCACTTACTGTGATGGTCCTGGGCGAACAACCCAACATCACTGTGCACAGAGGTAACATCAGTGCCAGACTTCCTAGGGCTGCTGTCAGGATGAAATGAGTCAGTAAGGCCCTTAGAATGGAGCCTGGCATACAAACAGTGCCCCAAAAGGTGGAAACAGTACAGTGCAGTGGTTAAGAACATGGGCTCCCGAACTAGAACAGGCTGTTCAATTCCTGATTCAGCCATGTGTCAGCTGTATGACCTTGGGGACATTCACCTAAGCTGTCTGGGCCTTAAGTTTCCTCAGCTACAAAATGGGAATAATAATGAACCTGCCCTCACTGTGTTGTTCTGAGGACCAGTGTGATAATACGAGTCTAAAGCAGTTAGAGTAACGCCTGCATACGGCAGACTCTGATAAATGTTAGCTATGGTTATTACCTGGGTTATACACGAGGAAACCACACACATGTAACCGAGGCTATGCTGGTCAATAAGCCGAGTGCTAAACGAAAATACAAATGTCACGAGGTTACCTTCTTGCTGTCCAAGTTTTGTATGTCCAGGAAAGCTCCCTAGGGCGACGACCTCTAAGGATGAACAGGAGTAAGGTGACAGGGGGAAGAAGGAAAGAAGGAAGGAAGGGGATGAGGAAAGAAAGAAATCAAGTTTCAAAATAAAAAACACAGACAGATGCATATAGCAATTTTCTAAAAAGCGGGTGCGCCCTAGAGGCTGGCTGAGCGGTTGGCAGGGAAAAGGACAGAGAAAAAAAGGTAACACCTGCACGAGGCCTTCCAGCGGGAGGAGAAAGCGACTGGGAAGCCTGTGAAATTAAATGAAAAGACAACGGAACTCTCGCCTCTGCTAGTAAATGAAGGTGGTGCTGTTCTCCACCGTGGGCTGTGCAGAAGAGCCGGCAGAGCGGTAAGTCTCTCCACAGGAAGCACACACAGCCCTCGGCTGGTGCTCACTGGCCAGAACCACAGCCCTGTCATCATGCATCTCTGCCCATTTTAGGGCTGCCTGCTGCTTCCGGGCAATGGCCTTCCGGTTTGAACTGAAGAGGTCAGCACCAGGACAATGAAGAGCAGAAGTGCCACTCGGTGCATGTTCAGTATTCTTGTGTGTAGCCTTCTGCACAGCTGGTGTGGCAGAAAGGGCGCTGGCCTGGTCGTCAGAAGACAGGGACTCCCCGTGCGAGCTGGGATGCTGACTAGCCAAGTTGGCATTAAGAAGGGAGCTTATTTCTGGGAGCCTCAATTTCCT